TTCCACCACCCCCCCCCAACCCCCCTCCACCACCGCCACCCCCGCCTCACCAACCACTGCTTCCACGCCCACCGGAACCTGCAAGAGTTAGACAGCTGTAATTGAGTCACGGTTTCTCGGAGGTAAGCCTTACCTGCTGCACCAGAGGAAAATGGACCACTGGCTCCCGAAATGACTCGACCAAAACCGCCTCTACCCATGGCATCACCACGGCTCCTTTTACTCCTGAAACGTGAGCGCCCTCTCGCCTTGCGCTCATCTGCTGCTCTCTCGCTGGCTTTCTGCTCCTCCTGTCGGGCAAGACTGTCTCGTTCTGCTTCATCTCGGCGAATGTTCTTGGGTCGGAAGCGACCAGCTGCAGGGGCTCTTGTCGCCCGAGTGGTAGTCCCCCCGCGGGTTGATGTGGTCGCTATACTCTGAGGTACTGGAGTGGCACTGCCCGGAGTATCTGTAACGTCTGGAGTAGAAGAGGCGGCGTTGTTTTCACCGGCTGCCCGTGAACTTGCAGCGGCCGCACCTCTCCGACTGCCCCGGGCCGCTGCCCTACCACGGTTCATGTTAATTGTATTATGGTTATTGATTACAAGCTGAGAGTCAATGTAGGCGGCGAGTAGTAATTGTCGGTATCGAAGGCTGTAGTCGCAGATGAAGCTTTCAAAAATTTAGCCTGAGTCGCAATGTGAAAGTTCAATAGTGGGGTCCGGAATGGTGGGGGACGATGGAATTCTGCCATTTGTGAGACTGCTCATATGTACTCACCGCCTACTCACCCAACTGTTCCAAGGTTGAATAAACTTGTAGACTGGGTAGGTAAGGATGTAGTCAGTTTATCAAGGCCACCTCGGATATTAACTAAAAGAGAGGAAACTACTTGTGTAAAGTTTAATTTAGCAAAAGTGTTCCACAACAGATATAGGTAGGTATTCTACAGACAGGCAAAATGGTTGATGTAGAGAACAGTTACTAACAATGCCTTAATTCAAGTAATGTACTGTCTTGCTCCAAGCTTTGAGTTTTCCATTTATATAGATAAATCATATTACTCCTGTCAATTATTTAAAAAGCCAGAGATCCCAGCTTAACCTCATGTCTATTTTATAAGAGAAAATCAGGTAACACAGTACTCTACTGCAACATCTGTTTGTTATTTGTAGTAACTATTAATTTTCCTTTATACTTTCTTAAACTACAAAGCATAAACTAGTCTATCTTTAGCAGAGATTGTAATGATCTCACCCTGAACTATAATTAAATATTCCCAAGTTTATGCTTAACTATCCTGGTTCAGGATCTCTAGTCCAAGTCAATCTCGTTTCCTTCATCCGTTAACTCGTCGTTTCCCAATATGGAAATCCTGTCGAGCTCCTATTGGCCAGCGTCTAATGGGCGGTACGGTCAGGGCCATGACTACAACTTATCCCGTATGCCTCAAACGAGTTCTTCTGTGGTCAGTCATTATATACAACTCTTTCTCAGAGACCATGCAGTATCCATGGTAATATGCAACCAAACGATGATGTATCTCAGCTAGCGTTGAACTTTCCTCTTATTTTGAGTTTGGGTTCCTTCATGAAAATGGTATTGGCCGACGAATGATTGGTAGACAGTGTGATAGGCGTGTTTATTAGTAGAAAGATAGACGATTCAATGGGCTGAAAGGAATGAAAAGGCTTCCTCATCTTAATGTAAATGGTGATACCTTTCGATTAGTCGGTGACGAGGAGCAGGGACTTCATAGTGTTATGGGCGGTGATGCAGGAAATGGTGTATGATATACAAAGCTGGCGTAAGATAAATATTTGCTTGCTCAGTGATTTGCGCAAGCTTGATATGAGATCCTACCAGCCGCGGTCTCTTCGTATTGGCTGGAGACAATGGACATCCCAGTTGCTGTTCAAGCGGTACTCAAGATTTGGTAAACCAAGGCGATCTCAAAATGAAAAATACAATTATACAACAGCCGCACTGCTCTCGCATCTGGAACAATTAGACAAAGAATGTACCGATGGGCCTTCTAAATCTGGAAACATGGTGTCGTTGATTGATTGTGCATATCCAATCGGCATACTTCTCAAAAGTGCCGGAAAAAACACGTCCTATTCCCATGTGGTGGCAGCCAAAGCTTGGTATCATCGAAGACACATCAGTGCTTTATCACCGAATTCAGAAGCAATGCTCCCTTCTTGAATAATCATTGATCCAATCCATTCTCTTCCGGCTTCAACTGTTTTTGCCCCAAACTTGACAACCACGCATCCTCGAACATTGGCTGCAGACCAGAGGACACCGCCTTCTTTCTCCTCTTCGAGTCTCTGTAGTCGCCAACGCTCGAAGTCAGAAACATCTGTGATGCTTCGCGCCATCGCTTCTGGAGAGCGGAAGTCCCGGGCTCCAATGCGAGGAAGTGCAGCAAACTCATTCTGAAAGAACTCCCCCAACGATTTGGTCTTGGATCCGCGCAATATAAGAGTTCCTGATATTGCCATATGCTGCATCATTTCTGGTAGTGTGCGACCCACGGACTTACTCGCACCTCTCGATAGGATGATTGAGTCTCGTACCAAGAGTCTATCAGTCGTAGTTGTTTGAGGATCTTGTAGCCATATCTCGTTCCGCCCGGTCCATTTCCTGAAGCTCCAGTTCTCCCCACGAGCCACACGCCCTTGAGTGACCCAATCCAAGAGACAGAGCGACGCTTGGCTTCTGAGCTTGAATATTTGCTTCTGGGCGTATACACTATCCTCAAACGGCTGGACAGGATCCGGAAGGAGACACATGGAAGCACCATCGTCTATGGTAACGTCCAAGTTTTGAGTTGTGATGACATCGGCTGTAGGCGATTTGAAGATCTTTGTGTGACCTTGGGTAGTGATGCTGAGCTTCGCCTGCGGCTTGACGTGTATTGTCAGATTAACACCGTCTCCAGCAACAAGCCCCCCTCCATAAGATAATAGGAAAACGAGAGTGCTTGGCTGGTTAGACGAAGGAGCCGGAGATATTAATTTCAAAGGATACTGATAAGTCATGGTCTCAAGACCGCTCCCGCCGGCAGGGAGCAGGCCAACAACGATGCGGCCATCGCCAGGAGAAGAGGATGAGGGAGGAAAGGGCGAGTCCATTTTGGAACCATGTTGCGATGATAGTGAAAGGTAGAAGTCCAAGAATCAGCGAAAGGTTGATTGGGCACAGGCAATAGTAACGACAGACTGCGTCTCCATCTTGACACACCTTGACTAACAAATAAATACCTTACCTTGGTTGAAACTGAGGCACGAGTCAAAGGTTCTCGACTATTAGATAAGAGATAAGAGATCGTTGGTCGATACAGTGGCTGTGGCCCCACACCAGCTGGGATCGTGGGGTTAGTTATACCGTCTACCGTACATCAATCAAGCTTGAGCGTGGCTTGTGAGAGGCAGAGACGGAAGCACCAAAGACACTACATGAAGTCGGGCTAATTGGCATTTGTGAAAAGAACAATTCTATTGTGATATCATGTAGCTAGGGAAGCATCTACACGTATCCAAGCCAGACGGATGTTAGAGGCATAAGCTGGTCGTAAAGATCTAAGGACTCTCTCAGGTACTCATGAAGAAGAGCACCCAGACTGCTACCTTAGGTGAGGTCAGGTCAGGTACCTTAGGTACTTCTCCGATGTTCACCCGTGGGAAAGAAAACTGGCACCACCCACCCACTTTCCAGAACAGCTTGCGCCGCCATCATCCCCATCTCCATCCCTATTGCACTCTACCTTAGTACTTATTCCACGCGACATTCGACGCGCCAAGTGGCTAAAAAACCATTGTCACCCTCGCACCGAGGGCTTAACCACCAGACACTGATATTTCAGATGCCGATATCACGCCCACCCCCAAGAGACACTATGGACAATAACGCGAGTCCGTCTCCGGATCCTGATGCGACAACGCGTCGCCGATCGGGACGCGTCGTGAGGGCACCCACCAAATTTACTCCTGATACTACAACTCAATCGACAAATCCAAAGCGCAAGCGAGACGATCAGGATGACGAAGAAGAGGACGAAGAGGAAGATGCAGAAAATGAAGCCCCCGATTCAGACGAGGAGATGAGCAACGAGCCCGACAATGACAGCGATGAAGACCATTTTGCACCGCGCTCTCGAAAGAAGTCGTCGCAAACAAGTCGCGCAAAGAAGCCTTCCGCCAAAAAGCCCAAGATCAATGGTTCCAAGCCTTTGCGGCCTGCGCGAGTGACCCACGCAGCCAAAAGTCTCCCGAGCAGACCTAAGAAGAGTGTTCGCATTGAAGACGCTGCTGTGAAAGGGCATGGGCTCTACTGTAGGCTAACTTCTCTCTTCCTGCGGGCTTTCCTACATGCTGACACTACGAAGCCCATCTATTCGGATCGGGTGATTCTAGCAAATCGGTGGCAGAAGAATGGCTGGCTAGTTATAAGATAAACGCAGTCGCAGCCACTGCTGACCTGGTGAACTGCATCCTTCAATGCGCTGGCTGTGATCAGCTCATCACAGAAGACGACGTTTTAGACTTAGACAACGTTGCAGGACGACTGGCAGATCTTCAGAGCATTTACCAAGAGGTATTACAACTCTCGATCGTGCCTCCAGCCATGCAGATTTTGCTGACATTATTATAGCAACAAATTACCGACTATCCTCTCATCTCCAGAACCAAACATTCACGATCCTTCCGAGACGTGCTCATCTCATTCTTCGAATGCCTCATTGTTGATATGCACCAAGGCCGTCTTATGTACAGAGACGAAACATTTCTTGACAACCTACATACATGGCTTGCCAGCATGTCCTCATCATCACTACGACCCTTCCGCCATACCGCAACTACTATATCTTTGGCAGTCCAGAGTGCGCTGGTCACTGTAGCTAACGATCTGGACTATAGACTCAAGAAGAGCATTGAAAAGCGTGACAAGGAACAGACCAACAAAGATCGCAAAGCTTGCGCGGATGCCATCCAGTCTTTTTTCGACACTGTTTTTGTGCATCGTTACCGAGATGTCGACCCAAAGATTCGAACTGAGTGTGTGGAAGCACTCGGGAACTGGATCATTTCCCTGCCTGTCATCTTCCTTGAGCCGGGCTACCTCCGGTATCTTGGCTGGATGCTGTCAGATACCAATGCACCCACTCGTCTCGAGGTCTTGAAGCAGCTTACCAAAGTCTTTCGAAGAGACGCCGGGCAGCTGGGCCACTTTATTGACAGATTTCGCCCGCGATTGGTTGAAATGGCCTGCAAAGATTCCGATGTCGCTGTTCGCGTCGCAGCAATTGGCGTTATTGACGTCCTCCGCGACCAAGATCTCTTAGAAGGCGAAGAGGTAGACGCCATTGGGAAGCTCATATTTGACAATGAACTCAGAATTCGGAAGGCAGTTGTTGGGTTCTTCGTCGCATGCACTAGGGATGCTATCAGTGAAAAGACCAAAGAACTGCGTGATTCTGAAGCTACAGAGGACATACCCCGGGGGAAGAAGGCCTCTGTTGACGCCCCCCGTTTGGAATGGATTGACCTAAAGTGCCTTGCTGAAACCCTTG